GAAACAACTTGCGCTGGGACATTCTTCAACTTAAATATCTGGATAATCCAACCATGGATTTCTGAATGCGTGTCGGGTTAGACTCTGGACTGATCAGCGGGGAATTTAAGACCAGTTGTGCACAAACAAAAGGATTGCCACAGTACTGTGTATATATATTTTTTTGTATTTATTTTCGGGTTCTATGTATGTTGTCTTGTATTGTTTACTTTAAATTTGTCTAATACATGGTATTGAAAGCAGTTATTTTGTGTCGTTTTATTGATTACTGACAACGGCTCCAGTAGACGAATTCTAGTCTTCTGATTTTCTTCCACCTAGTCCTTTTACACTTTAAATAGTGCTACATCAGTCAAACCACTGTCATTAGTAAGCTAGCTTTTTTCTTTTTTCACAGTTTACAGATAAACTCAGACAATCCACAGTCTTCCTCCCTTGTTATTCCAGGTAAAGGTTGCTGCTGTCATTGCCAGAAACATCAGAACACATCCTGTCTATAAAGGTGTGATTGACTTCACTTCATAAAAGTATGGGGAAAAAGACCAAAAAGGTAAAACTTGAAAAACTACTTTATATGAATAATTTTCTTATAACATAAATTACATTACAAATATAGTTATTTAAATGCCCAACCAGATACACACAATAATATTCCATTTTGGGGAATAAAAACATAGCACATTTTATTTTTTGTAAAGAATACTGCAGCTTCACTTTAGTTTCTTTACTCTCATGGAGATTGCACTATACGTATAATACATGGACTATTTGCACAAGTTTATATTATCTATACTTATAGTTAATCCAGTATTAACATGCTTTCCACATACCTAAATCAAAATTGGTGCCTTGTAACCCAGTCAGATTCTGCATACACTAATTTTCTCTCTTTTTGACGTTAACTCTCTAAGACAATAGTGAAAAAGCTTTGCTAAGCAGATGACATTTCCAGCCATGGGTCTTTAAAGGCACATTATATGTTGAGTTGCATCATTACAGGGCAGATTTTGTTTTTCAGCAAACTAAGTGGTTTATGGGTAATTTTCCTCTAATGAGAAAGCAAAGTCTGCACTGATGACATTGCATTTCTCAGAAGAGCATAATTTAAACCACAACATCTTAATCATACCTGTTAAATTGTTTCAGTTGAACTAATTTGAGGAGTGTATCGGCTAGCATTAGGCATACGTGATTCACCTTCAAGTTTTAAAAGATTAGAAAAATCTAGAGGAACATGTTGCTTAATTTTTGCTTGAATATGAAGCTATGTTAGAAATGGCACATTTAGAAAATAAAAAAAGCAAAAATGAAATGATATATGTTTTTTATTAAGATAAATTAAACCATATTAGCACACAGCAACCAGAAATCTGCATTGAAGATATTCAAAGGGATCGTAAACATACTGAATCCAAGAAGAAAGGATGTGGTTTGCTACCCTATCAGAGCAACAGTTTTGTGAACTTTCTCCAATTTCAAATTATTTGAAGTTTAAATTTTTATTGTTTAGATGAAGTAAAAGAGAAACAAATTCTCTGCAATTTTGATATTTAAGATGTTTACTAATCTCTGTCATTTCAAGTTAAAGATAAGAGTTAATTTGACTTAAACGAGAGCGACTTCAAACCTGAGCAGAGGTGTTGCTCTACATCCGTTCACTACGAGGCATGTGAGTGGTTGTATATCTTGCAGGTTAATCATAAATGTGTGGTTATTTCCATGTGCACTCCATATGCAAAAATGCACAGGGCCATGTTCTTACTGGCAGAACAACAGCCGACTGCTGGGTTTCCGCTACTTTAACCACAGTGTACTTTTTTCCCTGAAGAATAAGAGACACGTAAAATACTTCTATTCTAGAATTTAGCCTTTGAAGATAACGTTTCATTTCCTCACAATAACCTTTATTATAATGGAGACTTTTAAAAACACCGGAAAACTAAGTGTTGCCATAATAAAAAATACAAAGAAAAAAAAACAAGTTATTTGCTTTATCATATCACACTCCTAGTTACCAAGTTGTTTAAATTTTCAATCAAACCTTTATTTAAACAGATATAGGCAAATTAAGATTGAGATTGAAATGCAAGATTTGTAATTTCAAATTACAAATCTTGTAGGTTCTGTAATAGGGGTAGAGGAAAAAAAGAAAAAAAGTAAAAGCTACTTAATATCAGTGTATTTGCCCATAATCTAATCAGGTAATTAAGATCTGCCAAAGGCAGGAAGCAGCTGAGATCTTTCCTCGGGATGACTGGATTCTCTCAATGATTTATCCCTAACTTCTCTGCCAGGACTGCTCCACTTGATTGGATCAAAATATCCTATGGAGGTCCAGTGGACAGAAGGAGCTTAGGCAGCTTTTAAGGACATTCAGCAGTCTTTGGGTAAGAACCCAGTTCTTCATTGCCCTGACTTTGAAAAGCTATTATTTTCCCTAGAGAGGGGAATAGGAGCAGTATTTCTGCATGGTCTACCAGGAGACCAACATCCATTCATCAGTCGTAAACTTTCCCAAGGGAGATTCGTTATTCTACAGTGGAAAAAGAGACCCTAGAAATCAAGTGGGCTCTTGACTCTATAGTATTACCTCTTGGGAAGGGAGTTCATACCGCAGATTGATCATAAAGTCCTCCAGTGGGTGCAAAGGATGAGGGATGCAAACAGCTGTATCAGATGCCATTACCTGGCTATGCAGCCCTTCTGCTTCACCTTGGAGCACATCTTAACAGTAGGTTAACTCACTCACTGGGGTGGCGAGGACTTTTTCTTAAATGGTCTGGTAATTCTTTTTATCTAAATGAGTCACTTAATATGACCGAAAGAACGAGATCGCGGATACAAGCGGCTGAAATGGGTTTCCTCCGTAGGGTGGCTGGGCTCTCCCTTAGAGATAGGGTGAGAAGCTCGGTCATCCGGGAGGGACTCGGAGTAGAGCCGCTGCTCCTCCACGTCGAGAGGAGCCAGTTGAGGTGGCTTGGGCATCTGTTTAGGATGCCTCCTGGACGCCTCCCTGGTGAGGTGTTCCGGGCACGTCCCACCGGGGGGAGGCCCCGGGGAAGACCCAGGACACGCTGGAGAGACTATGTTTCTCGGCTGGCCTGGGAACGCCTTGGGGTTCCTCCTGAAGAGCTGGAAGAAGTGGCTGGGGAGAGGGAAGTCTGGGCCTCCCTTCTTAAGCTGCTGCCCCCGCGACCCGACCCCGGATAAGCGGAGGAAGATGGATGGATGGATGGATGGAGTCACTTAATATTGGTTTACCACATTGTATTAAATCTTTTTACTTATGTGATTTGGCGTTGTTTAACTATTTAGTTAAAATAGTTGACTTATTTTGCCCTCTTGAAATTGTATGGTTTACTTTAAACTAATACTTTTCATTTGAGTTGCCTCTTCCTGTGATGCTGCCATGTTTGCTTGGCTGGGCCAGTTAAGCAAGAGTCCCAGCTGCAAAGAATTTCAGTCGCACTGAGACTTAATTGGACTGTTCCAATTATTTTAAAAGAGGAATGGGAAGGTTTAAGTTTTTCCATTTTGTTAGTTTTTTGTAATTTTGTTGTAGTTTTGTTTAAGTAGATTTATGTAATTTTCACTCCTGATCAGCGAGTATATGTTCCCCTTGTGTGTTAGTTTGTTAGGTCAATTAATACTTTAGTTGGTTTTCTTAAGTTTGGTTTTGTTGACCTCTTTTTCTTTTTGGGCCCAGATTTATGTTTAGAGTTCAAATGTTTTTTTTTTTTGTAAATAAATTGGTTAAACTTCCCTGTGCCTTTCTGACTTTTCTTTGGCTCGGTCGCTCACATTACCCAAACTGTTTATTAGAAAGGTTCAAGAGCCTCAGTGTGAAAAAAAAGGTTGATGCAGTCAGGACTGTTTTCTTGCACAACATACAACTGGAGATTTTCCGTTGATTATTGGAAAAATAAATATCTAAGCTAGTGAGGGATTTCGTCAGTTTTCTAAGTAGAATGCATGAACTTTGTTCCTTATTCAGTAGAAAATGGTTTAGATAAAAACCAGCCTGTGGTAAGTTTCACTTTTAGCTGGACTTTTAGGCTACAAAGAAAACAGCCCTTTTTGGATATTTAAAGCTGCTTAATGATCAGACTTAGACAGACATTTAGTCATTTAGTAAACAAAAAGAGTACGGCATACAAAAACAAAGTTTTGTTCAGTACAGCTCTCAAGACATTTCCATTTCTAAAGTGCAGCAGTGATAATGATCAATAAAGCTCTGCGTTGATGGGTTATATGGGAAAGGTATTTTTCAGTCTATGAAAGCAAAAATTGCAAAACATGCAGGTTGGTTAATTAAAAAAACAAACTTTTAGCCTAATGCTAACTATTGCTATTGAAATTACCAAATGAGTGCCTGACTGATATTGACAAAATTTGACTGAAGTGGAGCAGTCCTGCTAATGTCCTAACAATAGTAGATGCTTAAGTTAGTTTTCAATGCAGTTGTCTCTTTGAGAAATGTCACATCTGACAGAAATGCATCTATGTTAGTAGAAAAAGAATTTTGACCACCATCATTTAAAAAAAAAAAGTATCAGAAAATTTTTTTTTTACGTTGGACCCAGAAATTATCAGACTCAGACAGGTTAAGGATGAAGCAAGGGATCTGAGATTAAATTTTAAATTAATCCTGGAGATTCCTTTTTTTTTTTGGAAGCTGAATCAACCATAAAAGATGGTAAAAAGAGCTGTTTTTTTTTTGTTTTTTTGTTTTTTTACAACTTAAACCCTTATCCTTTTTAAAGTGCTTGGATGTTGCTCTAATCTTTAAACAAGACAGTTTTAAGTTTTAAAAAAATATAATATAATTGAAATATATTTTTTTGATTATGGTAACTTAATCTTGAATTCTTTGCATATCAAGCTGTTTTTCTTTTTTTTTTTTTACTTTTTTTTTCTTGTCATTGGGGAATTGACGTCTATGTGAAAAAATCCATTGTGGGAGGTGCTCTACAAAACCCCACAAGTCTCTGCGTGTTCTTGTTTCACAATCATAGTGGTGCAGCACCCAAAAACTGTTCTGGCTAAGCTGACAGAGAACAATTAAATATGATTTTGTACAATCTTCTCATAATAACTTTGACCTTGAATGAAATCATTGTTGATTTAGACGCCTTTCTTTGCAAAAAAGGTAAGGAAAATAACTTTTTAGAGGTAAAGACTTTGTTTTTTAAACTTTGTTTCTGTTTTATCACCACCCTATTCCTGTCAAGCAAATGCTACACTTATAAAGACCAAAGTTGTGTCGTTTTTTTTTAAATAATGTTTTGCTTGTGGTCTTTATTTAAAGGCCAGATTGTTTAAAATGCAGTGTAATAATTATTAAGACGTATTTTTCTGAATGCTTCTAATGTGTCTCTTTTATTAAATAATTGTTTTTCCTCCACCATGTGACATTTGTAGGCCAGAGAGTGTTTGAGTTTTATGGCAAGAAGTCATGTGTGCCATGCCAGGATGGGTATTTTCAGCCAACAGAAAATCAATCGAAAAGTTGTACAGGATGTGAAAGATGTGACGAAGGTAGGAGATATGGCTTTACCAAGATGTACTGAAAATAATGTCTATACACAATACATGTAGTGGGAAACAAATGAAAATTTAGATCTGACATTTAAGTGAAGAGGAATTAAATAGGCCTATTAAATGCAGATTTTTGCTTTTTGGTTGCTTTAAACTTTGTGTTACAAATAAAACCAATATCTCTCTGGTTTAAATTCTAAATGTTATTTTTTCTTATGTTTTTTTTTGCAGCAAGAGGGAGTAGAGTCAAAGTGAAATGCACTAAGGAAACAAATACAGTATGTGAATGTCGGCCAGGATTTGTTCCATTTTCAAAGGAATCTTCCATCTGTATATGTGAAAAAGGATCGGGACTTAAAGATAATGGTAAAGTAATGATTTATTTATTTTTTTTACTTATAAAAGTCAAAGATGAAACCTCAATAAATGTTTATAATTTTCTGGTGACAGAGTGTTTAAAATGCCAGGATGGATATTTCAGCTCAAGCTATGATACATCCTGTCAAAAATGGAAAGAGTATGACCTTTTTTTCCCATCTGTTTTAATCATATAAATGTACACTATTTTACACTGACATCTCAAGTACTGTACACATGTAACTGAAAATCATGATTCTTCTTTTTTTAATTCCAGCTGTAAATCCGCAGGAATTAAAAAAGAGGGAACCCCCACCTCTGACGTCATCTGTAACGAGGTGTTAAATGGCAGCCAGACCACTACAGCACCTGCTGTCATTAAAAAGGTTTTCCCCTCGCTCTCAATTACACATCCTCCACACGAGGGGGTTCAAACACAGAAGACACTCTCTAACACCACCACAGCTCCTGTTCAACCCACCACTGTGAGAAAAAAAGTGCAGCCTAGCTTTCCGAGCTCAAACACTAGCAATCACGTTGGTAAGACATTTCCTGCCTTCTGTTCTCCGCAAATTTAAGGCGCTGTAATCTACAGCAGACCTGCCTTGTTTTATTCCAGGTACGGCCATTCTCACTTTGGGAATTGTTGGACTGCTCGTGTTAACAGTTATGACCTGCAAGCTACACATCACTCCCTGCTGGAGGACTAAACAAGCACTACAGAGTAAGATACAACTGAAGTAAACATGGGCTTTTATCCATGGTCTCAAACTCCAGTCTTCAGGGATATCCCTGCATAGCTTTTAAGTGCATTCTAGAGAAACTATTTGATTCATGGGTGCCCTCAAAAATTTGAGAACACTGGCATACGAGGAGTGATCAATAAGTAATGCCCCTGACCCACTGCCAGATATTTGTAATTTTGCATGTGAAGTCATTTGAATCTCTATAGATTACCGGTAAGTAGCAAATTACAGCTCTGAGCTATTTGTGGTTTCTGAAAACTGAGCCTGTTGAGTGTCGAGCAGCAATCCGTTTTTTCCATTGGAAAGGACTCACACCTCGGAAGGCTTTTGATGAAATTAAAGTAACTTATGGTGATGATGGCTGTTATATGACCTTCCAAAATGTTTTACAAGGTTATGTTATGGGACATTATCACTATAAGTTACTTTCATTTGATCAAAATTCTCCCATTGTGCGTGTCCTTTCAAATGCAAAAACTCAGACTTGACTCAGTTTTAACACCAGTAAATCAGAAACCACTATTAGTTCAGAGCTGTAATTTGTTATTTAATCTATAGAGATTTAAAATACTTCACATGCAAAATTTCAGCTCGATCAAACATCTGGAAGTGACCCAGGGGCATTACTTATTGAACGCCTCTCGTATATGTTCTGATGATAGTAAAAATACTAATTAATTTCATACTAAAGAGATTTATATTTGCATTTGAATAGTCTTGTAAAAGCTAGCTATAGGGAAAGGATCTTGCTGGTAAATTTCACTTTTCGCTGATGAAAAGAATCTGATTCAGTCTATACTGGGATAAGCTGATGTTTGTAGCCTCTGTTATAAAAGTAATCGACCCTTTTAAATTTAAATCAAGAAATAAATATATATATTTAATGTAAGGAATATGCACATGTTCACATATTTTGTTGAATGATTGACCTGTTTTTAATTGTTTCTTACTATATATATTTTTAACATTTGTGTTTTTAATACAATTCAGTCATTCGTAAACAATCCAGTGTGGGGTGACATAACATGATTAAAATAGTAATAAAATGTGGATATTTTTTTTCTTTAAGTATTTTTCTGTTTATGCTTGCAGCCAAGGACTCTTTGTGTCGCAGGCCAGTTGAGGAAAGCGGCGATGGCAGTGAGTCCTCTTTGAAACTCAATCCAGAGCCCTGAAATAAGGCTTTCCTTGGATTTAAAATCCTTATCCTTTATTTCAGTGAATCCTCTTGGTTAAAGTTATTATAGATCCCTTTATTTCACCTTATATCATTTGTTGCATGTTAGACATACATCAAAATCATTTATATTGTAATATTTCTTTTTCAACCAGGACTATGGTTAATATTTGACCTTGGTTATGTTGTAATACATTATAAGGTATTTCAAGTTCAAGAAATGTACCTCGCTTTTTTAAACTGTGAATTCCTTTTACCGGTATGTAAACATTTTTTCCCCTATTACAAATACTTTTATACCTCTATAGATTTTATAATTGCTACTTACATGTGTGTTTCTGCAGGTTTTATAAACCTACTTACATTCTATATTGTTAAATAAGTAATAGGGCTGGGACATCTCTGAGAAACATTCATTTTGAATAATCAAACAGTTAGAATATACAATAAGGTGTTAAAAAATAGTGGAGCAAAGTTTATCTGTTATTTTGTAATAGCTTCTCAGCCTCAATGTTTTGTTATGCGTTTTTTTTCTCAGTCTGTTCCACTAGCTGCATCTGTTCTGCACAGAACAAGAAAAAAAAAATGCTTTCAGAGATATGTGGGGTTAGGGGAAGTACCAGGTGGAGCAAAATGGATTTCTAATTTGTCCTCCCACCGAGAGATGCTTACTATCTTTTTTTTTTTTTCTCTCCCTTTCCTGTATTTGGAAAGACTGATGTTTTGAAAGTGAACACTTTCATGTTGTTTTTTGCTTTCTGGAAATATTTCTCAGATAAGGAGAGTGAGAGGAGTATGAAACTTTGACCCCATTACCTTTCACCATTTCCATTTTACTTAAAAAAAAAAAAAAAAATCTGCACCAAGTAGCTTCATGAGCCTGGTTGAGTTTGTGAGTTTTAAAATCTACCTGATAGAAGCTGGAGATCAACAGCTTCATACTAAGGGATATTTTTTTCAGAAAGTGTTGAGTCTTCAGATTGGATAGGACAAAAAAAAAAAAAAAAATCAGTTGGATACATATACATATGTTTATTTTAGTTTGCTTCAAAATCATTTTACATTATCCATATAAAGAGGCACATATAGCCTATCCAAGTCATTTCTGAGAAATGCTTATTTATTGGCCTGTACAACTACAATTAGTATGGTAGTGAATGTCAGTAATCAACATTTTACTACAAATGAAAAGCTTTTGGAGCAATCTATGAGCAATGATTGTTTTTATTTATTAAAGCGGCAAGGTTGCCTTCCTAGGATGGCTTGGCCTGAGGGGGGCGCCACAACCCTTAAACAATTATCTGTTATTTACACCCTAAATAAGTGTGCTACTGCTAAAGTACAAATAAATTCAATTGGGATGTCACTGAGCAGAAGTGATGTGTTTAATTTATTTGGGAAATTGAAAAAAGCATTTAATGCTTAACCTTCTTAAACTGAATATGAGTCTCATTTTTTTACTACGGTAAATGCCCAAGCTTGGACTTAGGTCAAGACTAACAAGTCCAAAGTCCAAGTCCTATGGTTTAAATTTCATGTTATTAAGTCATAATGAGGTTTTCCTGAAATGTTAGTGACACAAGGTGAATTTCTGACTTTAAAACAGCATTTAGTCATTTCACATCAAGGCAGCTAAGTAAGAGGTATTTTGTAACACGACCAAATCAAGTCTTGAATACTTAAATCTGTGACTCAGGTCTGACTTGAGTCAAGTCATCAAGTGAAGATATGCATCTCTACAGATCTCTCATATCTATTTCATTAAGAGTTTTTTTGTTGTTTTTTTTCTCTAAGGTTAAGACTCACATTTTATTTTGCAAAATGGGCTCTTAAACGATTGTATGGCATAAGAAATGACTTGCACAGGGTACCTTTCATGCTAGATGCACTTATTGTAGGTCTGAACATTTGTTATACAGAGAAGCAGTGGAAAGTGTACCTCCACAAAACTGCTGTAAATGTCACTTATCCAGGAAGTTGGCGTGCCATTTCAAAGAAGTTAAATATATCTTCTACGAAACAAACCTGTTGGGTTTCTTTTATTTTTAGCTGTAACCAAACTTAGTAATTCCTGTAAATAGATAATTCATTTATTCCAGTTATTTATATCTTTTAGTATTACTTTTCTCTTTTTACTACTGTAATATGTATTTACTTGTTTGTACAATATGTCTTTTATTTGAATTATATGTATTGCTGGAAAAAGATGTACTGAGTTCTGGTGCATTTAAAAATGTAATAAAAGCGGTGGCTTTTGGAAGAACATTTATCTACTCAGATCTCATTTTCAGTTTGTTTCTCTCATTTAGCACCAAATTATTGTAGAATTACTTGATTTATATTACAATATCCAATTCAAACATCATAGTTGATTGGTTTTACAAATTGCCCTCGTTGTTACCAGTTAAATTTGCCCTAGTTATAATAACACTTATTAGGCATAACATTGTGACTACCTAGCAGGTGGGGTGAAGGTATCTCTTCATCATGGCACCGAATAGACTGCAGGTAGGATATAACCAGATTTAGAATAGGCTCTTGGGTTAATATATAATACTAATACATTTTATTTATAATGCAATTTACATTTCAAATAAAATGCTGAGAACATACCAAAAACATTAATACAGTAACTCTGACAGATTCCAACAAAGTCACTGAAATTTCAATTCAATTCAGTTTATTTAAATAGAAAAAATTCACAACAGATGTAATCGCAAGGCAGTTTACAGAGACAGTTCAACCAGATCATATAGTCAAACTGATTTAAAGTTTTCTGGTTAAGCTGATTGCATGGACACATTGAATCAAAGGAAATCCCTCACACCAAGCATGCTTGCAGCAACAGTGGAGAGGAAAAACTCCCTTTTAACAGGAAGAAACCTCCAGCATAACCAGGCTCAGTGTGAGCGCCCATCTGCCGAGGCCGACTGGGGTTCAAAAGACACAAGCAGGCATACAGAAAGAAGAGATACAAAAGGAAAGAGTCAACCACCTCCACAGGCAGCCCTGTCCAAGGAACACAAAGGCAAGCAGATGAGCTCCCAGGCAGTTCCCGTGTCAGAGGATGAAGAGAGCATGTACAGTTGGTCACAGTCAGAGAAATAGGACGACACTAACCGGCCAAGCTCCAACATCTATGATATTAGAGATAGAATGAAGCAGAATTACTTTTATCAAAAAGAAACATTTTAAGCTTACCCTTAAATGTAGACAGGGAGCATGCCTAATAGACTAAAAATGGAGTTGCTTCCACAGGAGAGGAGTCTGACAACTAAAAGATCTGGCTCCCATTCTACTTTTAGAAATTCTAGGAACCACTAGTAAACCTCCGGGTTGAGAACTAAGTGCTCTGTTAGGAACATAAAAAACAATCTTATCTCTGATTTAACATGGAGCTTGGACATTTAAGACTTTGCATGTGAGAAGGAGGATTTTAAATTATATTCTGGATTTCACAGGAAGCCAATGAAGAAAAGCCAGGATAGGCGAGATATGATCTCTCTTTTTAATTTTCATCAGAACTCTGGCTGTAGCGTTTTGGATCAACTGAAGGCTTTTAACTATAGTTTGTAAAGTTCCTGATGATAAATAATTACAATAGTCCAGCCTTGAAGTAACAACTGCAGGAAATTTTGGAAACCCCTTTGATATGGGATTTAAATGACAGGTCCTGATCAAACATAACACCAACATTTTTTACTTTATTATCTTAGATCAATTTAATCCCATCCAAATGAAGTGACTGGCTGATCAGCTTCTTTTTTAAAGACTCTGGTCCAAAGACTATAACTTGTGTTTTGTCTGCATTCAGGACCAGAAAGTTGAGTCATCCAGATTTTTATGTCTGCAAGACATGCCTGTAGTCTATGTTATTGGTTAGCTAGGATTTATAGACAGATATAGCTGAGTATCATCAGCATAACAGTGGAAATGAATCCCATGCTGTCTAATGATTCTACCGATTGGGAGCATATATATAGTAAAGAGAATTGGTCCTAGCACTGATCCATGTGTTACTCCACAGGTAACCCTTGAGCATGAGGAAGATTTGTCATTAAAGTGAACAAACTGAAATCGATCAGATAGATAAGATTTAAACCAGTCTAGTGCTGTTCCTTTAATTCCTACAAAAATTTAAAGTCTTTCTAAAAGAATATTATGATCAACTGTATCAAATGCAGCAATGAGATCCAACAGGAAAAGTACAGAAACAAGTCCATTATCTGAGGCCATGAGAATATCATTAGCGACTTTCACTAGAGCTGTTTCAGTGCTATGATGAGCTCTAAAGCCAGACTGAAACGCTCCAGAAAGTTCAAAATGGTGTAAGTGGTTGCATACTTGTTTGGCAACTACTTTCTCAAGAATGTTAGATAAGAAAGGAAAGTTGGATATAGGTCTATAATTGACCAAGTCATCTGGGTCAATAGACAGTTTCTTAAGTAAAGGTTTAATTACAGCAACCTTAAAAGCCTTTTATACATATCCCTGTAACAGAGATAGATTAATCACATCTAAGATGGAGGAGGAGATAAAAGTGCACAGTTCTGCATTAAACCAGGGAGCCAGCTTTCTATTTTTTACGTTTTTCTTTTTCAAAGATGCTTTATTGTCTATTGGCGGTATGCAGAGAACTAGTAACCCCATAAACAAAATAAACCTTTGAAGTGGAATAAACTAAGCTTTTGTCCTCTGCAGCAATACTCAGTGATACAGGGGAGAGAGAAAGGGAAACTTTGGTAAACCTCTTAACTCTTGCAGGCTCCCTCCTTCCTGTAAATGGAGACACAGTCTGAGGATGTTGGATGGAACAATTCACCATTGTTTTTCTTCAGCCCAACTAAGTGTTGGAATTTTATCTGTTCAGAGCATATGACTTTTGGCCGAACAGTCTGTTTATCCTGGGAAGTTGTTCCTTTATTAATAGAAACCAGATGTAAAGTACTTGCTTATTCAAACATAGCCATCAGGCCTAAGTAAACTCTCTATATTGGAGGTCTTTAATAGGGGTCCATGGAGGTACTGCATGGGGGGGTCGCAAAAGTTTTAGTTGATGAAACTTTTTTTTTTATAATCCCCCCTGCAATTTTTTGGAGTAATTGAAATGTCTTTAAATACACATTAACATGAATTCAACACACTGTAATGGAGGCAGAAGATGTCTTTCAGTTATCAATGCACACATTCAGTGATACAAAGGAGCTCTTTCAAGCTGGGGACCTTTTCATTCACAACACCTGTTCCATCAACCAGGAATCAGAATCAGAAATACAATCAAAAAATGGGTCCTACATGTTAAAAGAAACATGAAACAAAATACAGTCATCTTACTGTCCTAGGATAAAGAAAAGCATAATATAGCAAACCAGCAAAGTTAGTTTAAGTATACATCAAATTGAACATTAATAAAATAAAGAGGGCACTAAAAATCAGCTATTAGTAAATTAATACCTGGAAGACTACTTTTAGGATTAATTCGAGTTTACTGCCATAAAATGAGAGTAGACTTGAAGATTCTTAACAAGCAAACTAGTACTGTATACTTGGAGTATTACTTTAGTATAGTGTAAAGAGTATTGTCATTAACTAAAAATACGACAATTTATTTAAAAAAATTACTTGCTAAGCTGCAAGTATACTTGACCTGTCAATGCTTAGTCATCTGAGTAATGAAACTTACAAAAATACATTGGAGGCAACTTTTGCTCAGTTTTCTCAAAAACATTTGACACCTATCCCTTTGCCATGTCTGGTTGTTAATACTAGAGCAATCTGTAGTTGGAGTGCTGCTGGTTGTCATTTAGGTAAAACTGAATATCACTCTCATCTTCCAGCACCACAGGAGCAGCCAGC